GCTATAATTGATGCACTGCAGATGAGAGCTCAAGTTCACTTATATACTGTTTAGAAGTATAAAGAAAAAACACTAGGATTATTGTTCTATCATCCTTGCCTCAAATTCTGCACAGTTTAAAGTAAATATTACAGCTGAGTTTTACAAAGACAGCTTAAATTTATGAAAATGGTCATATGTCATAAATGTCATTTTAAAGCTCATAATGCTTTTCTTTGTTTATTTAAAGTAATTCAGCCTCTGAAACGAATGTTCTTTGTGTAAAAGTACTATAAAGAAGCGAGCAAAGTTTGATGGTCAGAGTTTGCAAATCATTATATATATAGGTTTGGAAATGATTTGCAAACTCTGACCATCAAGCTTTTTGCTCACTTCATGCACATATATTACACACACACACACACACACACACACACACACAGAGCACTTGATAGTATGCTGAAAACAATATCTAGAGCTACCAGGATAGGAGTGGGTGCAAACTTTAATTTATTTATTTTTTTACATATACTTATACGCAAATAAACTGTAGCTGTTTTAAAGGGAGTGCTAGATTGTGTTACTCTGTATAGGCCCCTGAAGAACATTTATTGAAAAAATCGTTCCAGTACTCCCTAAAGTTTAATTTTGAAACAAGTCCGAATAAACAAGTGTGGGTAAAATTATGTTAAACATGGTTTTGTTAATCAACTCTAGGTAGCTACAACTATTCTAATGTTGAAGCTGAAGGAAAACAAACACCCACGAACTCTAAAATAAGCAATTAGCATCCACGTCACCACACATCAAATCATTATCTTGATTCAGAAGAACTTGTCCAAAGCTCAGATTTGCATTTCAGCCAAACAAATGAAATTAAAATGCATTTTGCCCTACTTACCGTATGAATGGGGTTGGTAGCATTTGAAATTTCAGGAATCTTCAGATGAAGACTCTGCAACACGTATGTAGTCTGCATCTAACATGAAGAAATGAGTGGACAGAGTTACCTGGACAAGTCGCACACTAAAGTGAAAATATTCTTAAATTTTCAGCCAAGAAGAACTACATCTAAAATTCTCACTCTCTCTCCTCACCCTGGCACACACACAGAGCATCTTAAAAAAAAAAAAAAAAACAGAAAAAAACAAAACAAAAACAAAACCCCAACCCTCCCCCACAAGACCCCATGACTTTATACAGAAATTTTAAATAGGGGTGCACCGAAAGAGATTTTTTGGGCTGATACCGATGGCTGATTTTTTAAGAGCCATATCGGCCAGTACCGATCCAATTCCAATATGCAGCCCCGCAGCATGGAGAGCAGCAACCAGTTGGTAAGTCTGTTGTGGGGGATGGGGGGGGGAGAAGGGGGAGGGAGGGAGTCCCCGCAAGGAAGGAGGGAGTGGGGCTGGGACACGTGCTGCACAGCAAGGGCAGGGCAGGGCATGGGACGGAGCTGCAAGCAGCTCATCTGGGGGACACGGGGCAGCTTCTGTGGCTGCATGCACCCTGGGAGGGCACAAGAGGGGGGCATGTGTCCTTGGATCTGCGCACAGGGGAGAGCAGGCTGTCACTGCAGGCTGTGGCCATGGACAGCACTAGGCTAGTCCTGGTGTGGGGCTGGGCCAGGCTGTGCTCAGGGCAGGTGGCTGTGGCACTGGGAGCAAGGACTACGGCAAATTTTGGCATAGCTACAGTCCCCAACAACCCAGTGCCACGGCCGCCTGTCCTGAGCACAGCCTGGCCCAGCCCCTTGCTGGGAAGAGCCTGGCAACGCCAGGATCTGTGGGCAGATCTAGGGGCACACGTCCCCCATGGCCTCCAGGGGTGCACGGGGGCCTTGATCTGGCCTCCCTTCCCCCCACTCCATGCCCCTTCCTTCCCCCAATCTTACCAGCCAGACCCAGCTGCTCTCCACGCTGCCAAGCTGCACTCCTGGCCGCCTGCGTGTTGAACTGTGGCTGCACGCATGCATGGGGCATTTAAATCGGCCACATTATCAGCCACATGAGCCAAAAATAGCCAACTGCCAATATTCTCAATTTTTCTCATATCGGTGCTGATGTATTGGTGCACCTCTAATTTTAAAGGACTAAATTATCTGTGATGTTCACAACCTAAAGACTGCAGCATCCAACTACTGTAGCAGAACCAGAAAGGGAAAGGGTTTAAATTACATTGGCCTGCTTTGTTTCACTAGCAAGACTTGAGTGCATTTCAAGAGGAGATATAATACTGAAGGTTCTTACAATTTAAGATGCTTGTTAACATAAACACCTGAAAATATTCCTAAGGACCATCTTTTCTTAAAATACCTTTCAGTTGAGGAGTGAAAGAAGCTACACAGTAATTTACATTTAGATTTCTGGACACGCTGACTGGAGAAGGCATAAGCTAGCTCACAGTACTGCTCAGCAAAACAGTTAGTCAGAAATCATCATCATTACTCAGCACTGACTCCTATATTTTTGCCAGCATGAGGCTGCTAACATTATCTCTGACAACTACTCTCAGGCAGGGGAAAGGAAAGAAAAGGAACTGAAATTAACAAACATTTTTATTAAATAAATGATAAAATACAGCTTATCTAAATTATGAAAGACTTCTTCCCTCCTTTTGGAATTGAATTGTTACTGAAATCGCTGAACTATTTTGATGACGTAACAAAAGCTTAGGGAACATTTTCCCCAAAAAGCTTTTTAGAGTATTCCTTCAAGGTTGATGTTATACAAGGCAATTTTCAGAAAAGAATAAATGGTTACAATCAAGGCTCAGAACTGTGATATAATGATAGAGCCTGCAGAGCTTCCAATTGTAGTGTAGAGTTATATAATGTAAAGTTATGGCTATTATGTTTGGAAGTACATTGCTTAGCCACATAAAATGAAAACTTAACTCATCAGGGTGACTAACCTGAAAATACACTGTCCAGTAAGGAATCAGAGCCAAAAAGACAGGGATAATCTTGACAAGGGCTTTCACGTCTTCTACTTTATCTTCTCTGAATGGCCCTCCCCGAGACGTCTTTGCCATCTCAAATAGACTCTGTTTACGAGGTTGCTGAAGCACTCCCTGGTTTTCACTAGTGAAAATAAAGAGGAGTTAATGAAAAAAACTCGCTAATAGCCTTGGGTTGTTTTTTTCCATTACAAAAAACCTCCTGGACTTCTAAAGCAGGCAAAATTACTTCTAAATACAGAAGACAAAACAGTCTGGTCACCAGTGGATCATCAGGAGTTGAAAGGACAAATGAATATGGTCATAATGAAAATTTATTAAGCATATTGTATGTTCTAATGGTTGCTTACATCCAGGGCAGGAGAGAGAACTACAATATTGAGAATATACTTGATTTATACATTCAATGAAAAGTTAGATTATTCTAACAGATTTAAGCACTTTTACCAGCTAGGTATATCAAACTGTACATTGTGTACAGGACTCAAAATCTTTCGTCATCCTACAGTGGCTAACTTAAACTTCTATTCCACACTTATTTCTTCACATGGAGAAGAGACTTGCTGGAAAGAGTATTTACACAGCTCAATTAACCAATGAAGTCTGCCACTTCACTAAAGGAAGATCAAAATGGTTTTAAAAAAAAAAAATCAAGAAGCACCCAGTGACAAAGCAAAGCAGAAATAAAAAGGAATTAGTGCTCTGTGAAGAAATGCAGTGCAGAATCCGAGACGTGGGTTAAAAAAAAGCTTAAAAGGAAAGTAGACAACTTTTTGAAGGAGTCAAAAAAGAGCAAGCCTGATTTTCCTGCCAGAGACTAGACGGCAAGGAGGTATTTGTTATAATAATATATACTCTAAGTTCCAAATGAAAATAGGATTCTGAAATTGCACAGGGAACATTAAAATATGCAATTGCTGGCTACCAGCCAGCCATAAAAATAAAGCATACCCGTTTGAGATCTTGAAATTTCACCCGAGTCAATTAAGCCTATACTGAAGAGTTCTTTACAAACCTATTAGGTGGTTGCTCTCTGAGTCTCTTTCGTGAACAACAAGAATACGTGAGAATCTTAAACATGTCTGTGAAGGCACTTCCATCAGGTGGCTTTGTGATGAAGAAACTCTGACCACACAGAAACACCATGAATGAAATTCCAATGCAAACCGTGGGGATGATATAGCCAATAACAAAGCTCACATTCTGCTGAATGTATGCAATGCCTCCCAGGGAGAGAATGGCTCCTAAATTAATACTCCAATAAAACCAATTAAAAAATCTTCTTGTGGCTTCTGGACCCCGATCCTTGACCTAGAATAGAGTAAAAAAAATAAAATAAAAAAAGTCATTAGATTTCGGATGAGAGTGAATTTCAATAAGTAGGGTTCAATCAACTATCATATATAAGAGCCCCTAGTTCTAATTTATAGACTAACTAAATGACTGAGGTATTGTGGACTTAGCGTGATATCCAAAAAGTGCCAGTGGACTGCATTCCCCAATCAAATTATTAACACTCCATGAAGTTCAATATTTAGGCAGAAAAGCTGTGTCAGACCTGACTGACACAGAGTCAGATATTACTCCCACTACATTAGCACCTCTTAGATATAGCTATTTTCCTAAACACAATACCCTAAAATGAAGTGGTCTGTTCAATAGCTACACAGCCCCTGCGGCAGTCAAGCTAAACATCCAACTTGAATGTTAACATATAAGTTAACTGAAGTATTAAACACACATGCTTGGGGGTTTGGGTTTTTTTCAAGCATATCTTTTTTTCTACTTACTATATATGCTTTACACACTTATTTGACTCCATGTATTGCATTTTCTAGGCTTCAAAAGTCACAAAAGTTATAACTAAAGACTAAAACAGCTTTTCTGCTAAAATGGCCTATAAATATTGGGGGGGAGGGGGATCTTAGAAAAGGGCTAATTACACAACATGGCAACTGAAGCAAAAAGCTTCATATCACAGTTTTAATCCTATACAAGTGTTATCATTAAAAGTGTACACAGAAGAGATGCCCACTAAATACACAAATAAATTAATTTAAAAAAAAACAACAACAATGAATCAAGGTCTCGGGGGGGGGGGGGGGGGGGGGGTTTAAACACAAAAACCCAACAGACACGCATACAAAACAGATTTATCCGTCTATAAAATCAAATTGAACATAAGCTATTTTCTCCTGATCACTCTAGCTAAATAGCTCCACAGTTGGGCTGCAAACAAGTTTGGTCACCGTCCAGTTCCAGTTCTGGACGCTGTACTTCAAAGAAGGAGAAAAAAAAAACAACCGATGTGGAGAATCTTAAAAGGGTCCAGAGAAGGGCCACACAAAAATGATTAAGGGCCTGGAGGACAAACCTTATGAGCAAAGATTAAGGGATCTGGGACCATTCAGCCTGGGGAAGGGAAGACTGAGGTGGGACTCGGTGGCTGTCTATAAGTTTGTAAGGGGTGAATATCAGGAACTGGGAGAAAAATGGTTCTCTAGGGCGCCCCAGGGGAGGACAAGGAGCAATGGCCATAAACTGTTAGAGGATGCTTTCAAGTTGCATGCAAGGAAGAACTTCTTTACAGTAAGGGTGATCACAATCTGGAATATTCTTCCCAAGGATGTGGTGAAGTCCCCAACCTTGGATAGCCTCAAGAGGAGACTGGACAGACACCTTGCTGGGATCATTTGATCTCAGCAGTATTCCTGCCCAGAGCAGGGGGGTTGGGCTCAAGGTCCCTTCCAGCCCTTAATTTCTATGATCCCTATCTGAAAAGTAAGAAAAAAGGATGTTTGTAGGTGATATCTTGTATTGGGCCAACTGTATGGCTGTGATAGACAAGCTTTTGAAACACACTACACTTCTTCAGGTCTAGAAGAAGGTCTTAGAACTGAAGAAGAATGTGCTGCATTTGAAAGCTTGTTTAAGTCTATCCCAAGCATAGGGTTAATTCAATAACAGATGGTTACCCACAAAAATCCTTGCCCCTCATGTATTTTCTAGACTGTCACACCTATGATATTACTCAAACACGACCATTAATTTATAATCTCTCATGCAATCCCCAAATCTATATAAAACATTACAGACAACTTTGTAAAATATAAATGACAGCTCTGCACAAATAAGATGCAAACCAAAGAAGCTAAACATGCGAAATTCAAATAAACAAATCCTTCCTTTAGATAATGAGGCTACAACTCTGCAAAAAAGCCTATAGCACCTGATACCTCTTTACTAACATTTACATCAATATCCTGTGGCTCAGAGTCTACTAAAAGTGGCTAATGATTCAGTGTCATGTACCAGTTTAGCTGAGGAAGATATCTTGTGACTAAGAATCAAATGCTCCCTCTTCTCATATTCTGGGTACTCAGAAAACTGAAAGGCTCTCTCAGGTGCATCCTAAACTTCCTTCCAAAAAAGGCAGCTATATCTTAAAAAACCCAAGCTTAAAAAAAAAAAAGGGGGGGGGGGGGGGGAAGGAGTTCCCTTCTTTATGTAGCTTGGTAGTTTCCCATAGAAGAATAACATACCTTGCCAAGCTTGCCTGTAACATTTAACCATAGTTAGTGGCTGGAGGAGGCAGGCAAAGCTGTTGTGTAAACTAGAGAAGAATGGAGACTTCCAGCAATTGCCTCTTTTTTCAAATGTACACGTTATTTTCAGCTACATAATCGTTAGCTCAAAGCCAAGGTGTCTCCCATATAAAATTAAGATTTAGCAGAACAGACCAGAGCGGGCAAAACAGAGTGCATAAATCATCAAGCTACGTACACCTTTACACTGGATGTAAGCTCTGTAGGTTAAAAAAAAAAAAGTTTGGGACAGGAGCCTGCAATTTTTATTGTGATCAAATACCATGCTATTATGTTCGTATGCTGTCAGTCTCACTTCTATGTCTTGTTACAGTGAGAGAGAAGCAACAATAGAAACTGAGGTATTGACTGATCTCTGCTTTTTTAGAATTGGCTTGACCGGCTACAACTACCACAGTGCCCACCTTTACTAACGCTGATGGAGAATTAGAGGAATTAAATTTGCCAGTTTGAACAAGACCCCTAGCCAACACATCAGTTCAAACAAGTTACTGATATATCAGGTTAGAAATGGCAGAAATGCCCTGGCCCATCCAACTAACTGACCATGTCATGAGCAATATTGGCTTCCAATCCTTGCTGAGCTTCCATGTTCTGGTCCCATTAAATACATGCATATTACTCCCCTCTAAGAAACTATTTCTTACGGTAATACAGGAAAAGTATGCAAATATGGAACAAAACCTATTAGACACCCATTTCTGTTATACGTACCTAGAAAGACTGTAAAGCATCTGAGTACATGAACTGCAGGCTAACAGCCAGAGGCTGAAGCCCAAACCCAATAGCAGCTTCTCTCTCTCAAGCTTTCTTACAGTCACCACCTGCATCTGATCCCTTTATCAACATCAGTTACGCCTTCACCATCACTTCACATCAACTTTTCTTTGGAAATCAAAGTGACATACATGCAAGTATGTCCTGTAGGGAGCAGACCAGGAAAGCCAAGGCTGCAACTGAACTCCAGCTAGCTTTGAGCATCAAGGACAATAAGAAGTCGTTTTTCAGATATGTGGGGAGCCGGAAGAAAAGCAGGGGCAACATTGGACCCCTGCTGAACCAGATGGGACAACTGACAACTGACGCCCAGGAAAAAGCCAACCTATTAAATAGGTACTTTGCATCAGTCTTTCATCAGTCCCATGGGACGCCCATGCCCGCTACAGGGCCGGGAAGTCCGGGTGAGGGTGATCCCCTGCCCTCCTTTAATGCTGACTTTCTGAAGGAACATCTTGAGAAGCTGGATACCTTCAAGTCAGCTGCCCCTGACAATCTTCACCCCAGGGTACTCAAGGAGCTGGCGAGCATCATAGCCCAGCCTCTAGCACGGATCTTTGAAAACTCTTGGCGCTCTGGTGTAGTGCCCGAAGACTGGAAGAAGGCCAATGTGGTGCCTATCTTCAAGAAAGGGAGGAAAGTGGATCCGGCTAACTATAGGCCCATCAGCCTGACTTCTATCCCGGGGAAGATCTTAGAAAAGTTTATTAAAGAGGCCATCCTTAATGGACTGGCCGACGACAACATCTTAAGGGATAGCCAGCACGGGTTTGTTGTGGGTAGGTCTTGCTTGACCAATCTCATTTCCTTCTACGACCAGGTGACCTATCACCTGGACAAGGGAGAAGAGATTGATGTCATATATCCTGACTTCAAAAAAGCCTTCGATCTGGTTTCCCATGATCACCTCTTGGAGAAACTGGCCAATTGTCGCCTTGGGTCCTCCACGATCCACTGGCTGGAAAATTGGCTCCAGG